CGCAGTGCTGGACGTGCTGGACCGCGTCGCTCATGGCACAAAAGTCGTCGTGAGTTCCTGCATGAGACCCTTCACGCACTGTCAACCACGTGCACAGCGCGGTTGATCTTGTCTTGTCGGTGCGATCCTCTCAAGTGAGCGACTAGGTGTCCAAGGTTTAGGGGGCCAGTTTTGTAACATGGGCCATTTTGGGGGCCAGATTTGAAACGGGGCAGTTTGTTTGGGGCAGGGGGTCAATTTTTGGTGAAGGCGAGGGACAGTTTGAGGGCGAGTTTGAGACGAGGAGGGGATGCTTGCTTTTTGGAGGTTCCACTTGTTGCGTTATTCGCGCTTGCGTGGTACAGATGGTCACTTGGATGTCGTCTGCAAGTCTAAACGTTCTTCGGATCGTCTCTTTCTCGCGTCTTTGTCAAAGTCTGCATGTCTTCTTGTCTTCTTCTTCTAGAATCTGCTGTTGATGGAACCCAAGTGGGCATTGCCGGTCCCATCTCTCTGCCAAAGCCTTACACGATGTGTTCTCTGCAAGCTGGTTTTCGCAAGAACGGCTGTTTCATCCGCTTTCTTCCTTGCGGTCTGAAAGCTAACAACCATCCCTTTGGCTGTTTTGCGCAGTGCCCCTCGACCTCTAAGCGCTTTGTGAAAGAGCTCGAACGCCACTTCAACGCCGAATTTCCACCCTCCGAGTCCGATCGGCGCGGCATCTTCCTGCACGCAGACAAGCGGTCGAAAGCTGACGAGGACTTCTTCCAGAAGGCGATGGCCGAGTCCGACATCTACCTTGAGGCGGACTGCGTGGCCTTCTCTCCGAAGCTGGGCCCAGGGGTCTCGAAAGAGAGGCCGTACGCTGAGCAGACGGTCGCCTTCGCCTTCAACAGACTCGACGGTCCTACTGTTGAGACGCTGCTCCAGCAGCATGCACGCTTTCGCACGGTCACTCACTCCACCATCTACTACAAGCAGGCGATGAGCACTGCAGTGGACCTGCCGCGCTCTACAGAGGCGGTCTTTCGGGCAATCGAGCGGGACGACAAGCACATTGTCGAGATGCTCGGGGACGCGGCCGGCTTCCAGTTTCTGAAGGGCTCGCAAGGCATCTGCGACCGCTCCTCAGCGAGTTGCGTCTTGTTCGCAAACAACATCCTCGCCAAGGTGGAAAGCTATCTGGAGTACGTGCCGAAGCTGAAGGCCGACCTTGAAAAGCAGGGTTACGAGGTGACGGTCGAGCACGTCGAGCCAACGGTGAGATTGCCAAGTAGTGAGGCGAAAACTGAAAAGCGCCCGGCATGGCTTGGTCGACAATTTGCACAGGTTGTTCTTTACAATCAAGTCTTTTAGAAGGTGCAGATTGTCAAGTCCGTCAAACTGTGGCCATTTCGGTTGCAATGATCAAGTAGGCTCGAGGAGGGTCAAGCTAACGGACTGCTCTTTGGGTCGCGGTCAGCGTGATCTTAGGCCAAGGTCATGCTGTTTTGGCGTCTGCTGTGGGCCTTGTTTTTGGTCTGGTGTGGGCTTGATTTCGGGGCGCGGTCAAGCTGTTTGGGCTGGGGCTTCAGGCTGATTGGTGGCCGCAGTGAGGCTGGTTCCGGGTCCGCTTCAGGTCTGGTTCGGGGCAGGTTTCGGGCCCGTTAACAAGCTAATTTGGGGGCGCAGTCACGCTGATTCTGAGGGCGCGCCGGTCAGGCTGGTTCGGATCTGCTGTGGCCTGCTTTCGAGGCTACTTTTGGACCCGCAATCAAGCTGGTCTTGGGCGCGGTCAGGCTGGTTGGGGGGCTGGTTTAGGCTGGTTCCGAGTTTCTTCTGGGCCTGGTTTGCGGCTGGGTTTGGGGCCATGCTTTAAGCTGATCCGGGGCGCGGTCAGGCTGACTTTGCGCCGTGGTTAGGCTGATTCCGGGTTTGTTCTGAGCCTGGTTTGGGGGCCTTTTGGGGCCGTGCTTAGGACGCAGCAGGATTTTTAAAAGCTCCAGTGTCCACCCTACTGCTGTTTGTCTCCTACAGCTGAATGATCGGCTGTCCCACCACTTTCTCTCCAGGGCGGCCTCGGGACCCCGCCCCCGGAGGTACCCCTCGGCTTCGATGCGGAGCCAGAGGTTCTGACCGACGAAGAGTGGCGCGCGAAGTACATCATCAGCTCGGAGGAGTACGAGATCATGTGCGAAAGGCCGGAGGACCTGAGCTCGAGACAGGAGCTCCAGACCTTCTTGTTCGAGATGGTCACAAAGGAGTACAAGGTCGACCCTGGCCGAGTTGATCACAACTTCTACATCAGCTACTGCTCCGACGAGAAGGATGCAAAGGAGACAAGAGAGGCTCACGTAAACTATCTCAGGTGAGCGCCTCACTTAGCTGCGCTTCCCCTCCCTGCCTAGTCTCAACCAGTGACCGAAGCCATCTTGCCACCATCAACTTCCAATGGAAGTCAACAATTGGTTCTCTCCGAAACTGCAGCCTCTGTCGGAGTTTTGCAACGTTTGTCCTGGGCCAATCTACTGGCCTCCATCTTTCTCCTTCAAGCTGCAGTGCCCCTGTACGTCTCAAAGTGTTATGTTGGCTGCCTTCTGACTTTTGTTGTGACTTGCACAGGTTTCGCGAGCACCGCTTCGGCGCCCTCACCGCGGACTTGGACAGGGCACTCGGGCAGGTCAACAGGGAGGGCGTGATTCAGGAGTACGTTCAAGAAGTGCGCGAACCTGTCAATCGTGTGCCGTTTGCGGTGCGCGTCCTCGCCTTCCTCGTGGACTGCAAGGAGGAGCAGCTCGATCATCGGGCGGAGCGGTGGGAGGTCTCGGATGAGCGGGTGCAGGCCGCCTATGCTAAGCTTATCGGGCCCAGCAAGGATTGGTTGAAGACCATCTTCAACATGTTCGGCTTTGTGCAGCAGACCACCTGGCCGTCGAAGGCTGCCGATGGGAAAGTGAGAGAGAAGAAGGCTCAGAAGCGGAATGCAGTGGGCAACGTGCTCAGGGCGGGCCTCGGGATCGAGCTACGTATGGGCTCAAAGGGCGGCGGCAAATTCAAAAATCCCCACGTGTTGACGCCTGCCATCTGGTTGAGTCTGCATGAGCGGTACGGTTGGTCTACTCCAGAGACGGTCGCTAGCCCTGAGTGCATGATCGTGCTGAGGGGTAGTGGCCCATAGAGGTTGTGCTGTAGGTCAGGAGTGAGTCAAGTTGCAATGTCTCCGAGTGTTGATAGCGTCTAAGAAGACCATATTTATTATTGGTCTTCATGTTTATTGCACTGTAATCAGACGGATACATTGGTTTGGAGAATCATGATAACAATAAAGGTTGTTGCAATGAGGCCGGCCGCTTCGCCTATGCTCGCATGATTTGCCCAAAAAGAACGCCGTGCTCTGCTCGTAAGAAACACTATTCTAAGAAAGTACGAGTTAAGCCGTCAATATGCACTGTTGCAAAGGATTCTTTGTATAGCATGGTGGTGCAAATTGACGAGCCCATGCCGGTCAATTCTTCAACGATGTTGTAGGAGATAGAGCAATGCCGTCAATCTGCACTATTTTTGAAGCTTCTTTGTTTAGCATGAGGGTGCAGATTGACGGCCCCATACCGATCACTCCTTCAACAACATGCAATGAAACAGAGCAAAGCCGTCAATATGCGCTGTTGTAAAGGTTTCCTTGTATAGCATGAGGGTGCAAATTGACCGCCCCATGCCGGACACTTTCTTGACCGGCGTTGTAGTTTATGGTACAAATGCTTGTCAATCTGCACTGTTGCAAAGGATTCTTTGTGTAGCATGGTGGTGCAAATTGACGAGCCCATGCCGGTCAATTCTTCAACGATGTTGTAGGAGCTAGAGCAAAGCCGTCAATCTGCACTGTTTTTGAAGCTTCTTTGTTCAGCATGAGGGTGCAGATTGACGGCCCCATACCGATCACTCCTTCAACAACTTGCAATGAAACAGAGCAAAGCCGTCAATATGCGCTGTTGTAAAGGTTTCCTTGTATAGCATGAGGGTGCAAATTGACCGCCCCATGCCGATCACTCCTTCAACAACTTGCAATGAAACAGAGCAAAGCCGTCAATATGCGCTGTTGTAAAGGTTTCCTTGTATAGCATGAGGGTGCAAATTGACCGCCCCATGCCGGACACTTTCTTGACCGGCGTTGTACTTTATGGTACAAATGCTTGTCAATCTGCACTGTTTCAAAAGCTTATTTGTATAGCACCGCAGTGCAGATTGTCGACTCCATGCTGGTCACTTCTTTGGTCGGTTGAAGCAGTGACCAGCAAAGCAAACGGTCAATCTGCACTGCTTTTAAAACTTCTTTGTTTAACATGAGGGTGCAAATTGACAGCCCATTTTGCGAAAATCGTGCTCAAACGTTGCATGAACTTGATGGACACTCATATGCGCTGTGCATGAGACTATTCAAGACGGAATTATTTGAAGCTTGCTAAATTCAGGTGGTGCGTCAGATATACCTAGAGGATTGCTCGTGTGCAATGATACCCTGTTAATTCTCTTTGCAAAGGATACTTCACGGTTCAAATGGATGCGATCCTTGGGCACCGCCCTTCATGCCATTTTGCAATTCTTCAGATGGACAAAGCCGTCTTGGAGAGTGCAAAGTCCGCGATTGTTAGATGTTATTGTGAATTTGGTCTACTTGGGACCATTTTGGACGCCGCCGCTCTTGGCGGCATGCGAGCGCTTACCGAACCGCATGACCCAGGTCAAATAACCAGAGCGCTCGTGCGATCATTGATTGCCGAGGGTTTTGATGCCTTCTGGGATAAGTCGGGGTTGAACGGGCCGTACGCTGTGAAAGTGAGTTGGCGAAGCGCCTTGAATCGCGCAACTCAAGCACGACGCCGTGCACAGAAGTTGCCAGTCAAAACGACACATGCAAACGAGCATGATACGGATGCGTCATCTCCCAAAATTCGCACAACACCAAGAGCAATTTTCCCGTCCTATTCGAGTCGTGCTCCAAGTATCATTTGGGACGACAACGAGCCGCTTTTGGGGCTCGAGATGCTTGCAAATCCGCTTAAGGCTCGAGTGGCTCACGAAGCCTTTGTAAAAACGTCGCCCAGATAACGGGAACGTGCTAAAATTCCTCATTTCTCATTTTTGTACACCTCCAGTCACAGTATCCAGAGCCAGTGTATTTTGCTAGCAAAATGGAGTGGCCATCTTGCTTTTTGGCGGGTTCTACAGGCTCTCATAACCCTTTTCACCGTGAAAAGCTGCTACCCATCTTGAGTTCGCGCGATAGATTTTGAATGTGGTCATTCATGGTATCTGGGATCGAGACGTTCGGATGGTCAAAAAAATCTTAGCAGTATCCAGATAACGTGAAACATGCAAGGGCCTG